CTGTGCAGATCACAGCCTTTTCTATGTTTTTCGATGAGACATATTTGAGTGCTGAGTGAATGGCTATCAACTCAGCACTAAATATGCTATGGTCGTCGTGTAGCCTACTTGTTTTGTTATGATGGTCAGATGTGACAGCGGCTGCCGTCCTCCCGTCACAAACTGAACCATCTGTATATATGTATGCATAGTCTTTATGTTCTTCTTGATGCTCATAGAAAAGTTGAATGCTTTCTTCTTTTGTGACTTTTGATTTTGCCTCTGCGTACAGGAATGCAATATTCTCTATGGCTGGCAGAAAGAAAGAAGAGATGGGTGGCCGATGAAAAATAGATGGAAAATCCAACTGGAAATCACTGAGTGTCCTTTCTATGCGATAGGCGATTATCGGGTATTTGAGTTGGGCCGTTGTGGGAGGGTCGTCCGTATATCGCTTGGAGACAATGCGGTGCGAAGGCGAATAAGGGGACAAGAAAGTGCGCGCATAGAAGCGAAGGAGTTGGAGTTTACGGCGGTGAGAGAGAAGAGGAATATTACATTCTGCGTGGAGAGCCTTGATATTTGTGGTGCATTGGGCTCCTGTAACTATACGCAGGGCCTTATTTTGTATAACTTGAAGTGATTCGATCTGATTAGAAGCTATATCATCAAATAGAAAACTGTTGTAATCCAGGATAGGACGGATTAGGGAAGTGTATAGGTTAAGGAGGGTGCTGCGATCAGCACCCCAATCCTTTCCTGCTATACACTTAAGTATGTTGAGGCGCCTAGTGCAACGCATTTTAACGTCTTCAAAGTGATGTTTAAAGGAGAGTCTACTATCTAGTGTGATGCCGAGGTATTTGAACGTTTTAACGTATTTGATAGTTTGGTTCTTTACTTTAAGTTCGGTATCAAATTTAAAACGGGACTTATGGGAGAATATAAGTGCTACTGTTTTGCTGGGCGACAAGACTAGGCCCCATTTATCGCACCAGCTATGAATATCCTCCATTGCGTTTTGAACGGAGGCAAAAGCCGAGTCAATGTTTCTTCGCGTTACCCAAATGGCCACATCATCGGCAAAAACAGAATGCTTAAGGCTACTAGGTGGGTTTTGAAAAAGGTCGTTAATCATAATAAGGAAGAGGGTTGGGGAGAGGACACTGCCCTGAGGGAGGCCATGATCCTGATTAAGATTGGGAGAAAATGTGTTACCGCATCGTACGTTAAATGTTCTATCTTTGAGTAAATTAGAGATATAATGGGCCATGTGACCGCGAATACCTGTCTTATGAAGTTTGATCAGAAGGGCTTGTTTATTTACTTTATCAAAGGCGTTTTGAAAATCAATGAAAACTGCAAATGTATACATGTCATTTTGGAAGCCCTTCTGGATGTCATCAATGAGGTGGACTATATTGTCTGCCGTGGAGCGGCCGGACCTAAATCCTGTTTGATGTGGAGAGAGGAGGTAGTTACCTTCTAGATATGCCCTAATCCGTCCATTGACCATATGTTCTGTCAATTTAGCAGCGCAACTGGTTAGGGATATAGGTCTATAACTAGAGGGGGAGGAGGGTGGTTTGGAGGGTTTAAGGATGGGGACGATGGTACTGTTTCTCCAGCTCTCGGGGTACAAATTGTTTTCCCATAGATTATTGATTACTATCAAAAGGTTTTCAAGGCCGGATTCAGAAAGGTTTTTGAAGAAAGGATAGGCTATCTGATCCGGCCCTACCGACGTTTCACCACATCGAGATATGGCGTGTCTAAGTTCGAACAAGTCAAAGTGCTTGTTATAATTTTCAGTATTTGCTGAGTCGAAGGAGAGGGTGTCGAGTGTTGTGTTAAAGCTGTCATGTTGTACTTGTGTGTATTGTTGAGCAGAAGATATTCGTGCGTAATGTTGGGCGAATTGTGTCGCAACTTGAAGGGGAGTGGTGTAGTGGGTGTTGTTAATGTAGAGATGAGGAATTTTGTAAGTTGTGCTGCGCCTTGTCGAAAAAAACTCTAATTAGCGACCAGATTTTAGAAAGGGGAGTAAATCTATTAAAGCTGTTAGAGAAGGAGTGCCATCCTTCTTGTTTTGCTTTAAGTATTATTTGTGAAGCATCATATCGGGCCTTCCGGAGGGCATTTTCATGGTAATCGCAAATACATTTGTTAAAGACTCGTAAGGCACGCTTCCGCAGAGCTACAGCTCGATTGCAGTCAGCGTTCCACCAAGGGGCAGCTTTGTTTTCACGTGGGGGGTGGGTATGGGGAATATTTTGGTGAGCAGCAGCGAGAATCACGTTTAAAAAGGTGTTGATGTCAGGGGGAGGGGTGGGAGTGTGTTCATCTATATGTTTTTGAAAGGAGGCCCAATCAGCTTTCTTAAAGTTCCAACGAGGAAGAAATGTAAAATTGGCTTGTCCTGAAGGGACATTAAGTTGATAGTGAATGGGATAATGGTCGCTAAACAGTGTATCATCTCCGACGTGTTGAGTGAAAAGTGTCGCGGTGTTAGTGTCTGTGAAGGCCAAGTCGATGACGGAGTGTATGACTTGACCTTGGTTGCGTCTGGTGAAAGTGGGTGTGCGGTTGTTAATGCAAATGAGATCAAGTGAATCCATTATCTTATCAATTAGTGTTCCGCGCGCGTTGTTCGTTGTTGAGCCCCAGGATCTGTGGTGGGCATTAAAATCTCCTAGTATTAGGCAGGGGTGGGGAAGCTGGACAAACAATTGGCGGAGTTCAGAGGAGGAAAAGCGGTGGCTTGGGGAAAGGTACAGGGAAAGGATGGCAAGGTCATGTTGCGCTATTTTGACTTGAGCTGCGACCGCGTTAAGCGTGGTGCGGAGCTGAATTTCGTGGTGCAAGAGGTTATTAGCAATATAAAGGGCCGAGCCGCCTCGGCGGGGTTTTTCATTTACGTTATTTGTATATAAAGTATATCCACGTATGTTAAAGTTGTAATTAGAGGAATCTGAGTCCAGAAAATGGGTCTCCTGAATGGCGGCTATCAACGGTTTTTTATTCAATATATAGTTCTTGAATTCGCCCCAGTGGCTCACTAGAGAGGAAGTGTTCCACTGGAGGACGAATTCATCAGATCGATGCATGTTTTATGTGTGTTGAGTGTTAAACAGATTTTTCACGAGCAGCCGCCGCTGCGGCTCTGGTCTTCATCCCCTCTGACGGGGTTGGGGACGGGGCGCGTGTCGTGGCTCGCGGATGCTGAGTGTCTGCGTTTACATCCTGGCTCGCCGCTGGGGCGGCCTCATCCGTCTCTAAGTCGGCGGGCGGAGAGGCCACCGGACCCACGATTGTAGAGACGGTCTCTGTGTCAGAAACGTCTGAGTCCGCCCCTGTGTCCACGATACTGTCGACCCATGACTCCATCACCATGTTGCCGGTGCTGTTTGGAACCGATTCGTCGTCGCCGCGGTCGCACTGCGCCTGTCCCGGGTTGACAGCCGGAGGACCGGCCGACGTCTCCGTCTGCTTTCCGTCCGGGCTGAGGGGCGATTCAGTCACCCGCTCCGGCTCAGACGCGGGGGTCTCCACAGCCTCGGGCGCGCTCAGCTGTCGACGGACAGGGGCTTTCGGGGTGCGACTCTGGACCGGCGGGTTTTCGCGACTCGGTACGGTGTCCGTGAGTGAGGCCCTGCGTGGAGAGGGCGAGAGCGCCGGATATTCAGAGGCACCTGACTCCGAGTAGGAACTCGGCGGGAACGGTGGGGGCGGGGGTGGTGGCGCCAGCTTGGCTTTGAGCTTATTTTTTTGGTACTCCCATGCGGGGCACATCCGATCCCAGGCTGGGTGCGGGCCACCACAGTGGCCGCACCTGTAGAGATCCCGGTCGCACTCATCGACCTTGTGGCCGGATGTGCCACACTTCAGGCAGTTCAGTCGCTTTGACCTGCAGGTCGTCTGGTTGTGGCCGAAGCTGCCGCACTGTCGGCAGAGGCGGGGGCTGGGCTCCCATTCCCTGACCTCCAAGATTTCATATCCCGCGTATATAGCCGGTGGGCAGGTAAGGCCCAGAAAGTGGATTTTGATCCTCGGGTTTGGGGTGGGGCCACGCGAGCGGAGTCGAGTGACGAGGGTGACCCCCTGCGGCCGCAGTTCGTGTAGGAGCTCCGTCTCGTCCATGTTTTTCAGTGATGGGGCAAATACAGTGCCGGCCACCGAGTTCAGTTTGGTGGCAGGGCTGGCGGCGACTTCGTTGCCAAGAAAAGTCTGGATCGAAAGGGCCAGCGAGGCCTGAGCCTTGTTTTTAACCCGGATTAGAAGAGATCCCGATCGGACTACCTTTGCGGTGACAACCGGGCCGATTAAGGAGTCGAGTTCTCGTTTGATTCGAAACGGTGACAGACCCTGGAGGGACCGATCAGGACTAGTCAGGATGATAAACGACTGCCCGTCAGGCACGTCATCTAGCGGCTCCCAGCCTCGACCAGGCGAGCCCGGAGAGGAATCTTCGAGGAGGGGGCGGGTCAGGGGAGGGCGGGGGCGGGACAGGGGAGGGGCCATGTTTAGAGAATGTAGATGGTTGGAAATGCGCCGAAAAAAGCGTGCCAAACGCACGAAGAGGGTTGAAAAAACGAGATCTCACAGGAGGCACACCCAAGAAACGAGTATGAAGGAAACTTTTGATGGAGAAAGAAGCAAATTAACAAAACAGAGACGTAACAGTAAGGGGAGAACAGAGAACCTTACCGGTTTGTTCAAATCACGATTTTCCAGGTGGGAAAATGGCCGACACTAAACCGACGCGGACCGAGCGCGGCGCAGCACCGCCGCCGCCAGAATTCAGCAGAAATTCACAACGATGAGCGCCAAAAAGAGAATACCGAGAATGATAATTTCGAGAAAGTACTGGGAAAGCTAGCCAGTAGCCACGCAACAACAATCGCTTAAGATCTAATATCTAATAAGCCTAAGAGCAAAATCGCACACGTGCGTCGCCACGTAAACTGCCAAATGCATATGGTTGCGTTCCATTCACCGCGCGACAGAGACAAAAGTTCATCACTGCTCATTGTGGTTGTGTCCTGCCAGGGTATATTGAGTGTGTCCTGCAGCCTGCAGTCAACAGTCAACCTGCAGTTGGTGTCGGATGATGTGGGGATGTGCTATTTAGATATTTATATGGATATATATTTGTGAATTTTGGTAGCATTTTAGTATATAATCCTTATGTCGAAACTATTGACACGGCTCAAGAACGGTCCTCTCGCGAGATGGGGTGAGTGATCTGCAGCTCTAGGAGGCATTACAATTTTGATAAAAACACATCTTGCTTTTCATTTTGCTTGCATGAAAAATGTTACTAAAGAAAATTCTAAATGAGGTGCTGTCTGAAAATATTAAGTGTTTTTGTGCTATATGATCTCTTCTATTTTAATTTGGAATTGAATATGGACTCCGCAGTTTCTATTGACCACATTTATTTGAAGCAAAACCTTCTTAAATTGGTAAATTTTAGGAGTTTGATTATGTCTTGCCAAAGGATTTTCATATTTTGTTAATGTCTTAAAGTGAAATGATTGCTGCATTGCATGTTAAGTACTAGTGTAAGTATTTTACTCTTAACCTGTACTTCAACCTCACAACTTTTAATGGTTTGAATTTTAATTAGGTAATAGGTAGGTAGGTACTTCTTTTCCCCATCCTTCCTTTTTCTGCCTTTTGGGTGTCCCTGTTCCTTGCTGAATGTATGTTTCCTTTGCTGTATCCCTCATTGCTCAACCTTTCCTTTGGTATTACCTATGTGTGAATTTGATTGATGCCAATATAATACCATCACAATTCACAGACATATTGCTTGTAACTTGACATCAATATTACCTACCTATGTAATTTCAGGGGCATACTGGAAGCAGCTTGGACAGGACTATGCTGAGGTTTTCCATGACACAGTCAAAGACATAAAAAGCCATCCTTTGAGATCATCTGTCTACATTGCTGGTGAGTTTTTTTTTTGCTGATATGAATAGCACATGAATTTTGATTATTTAGCAAGTGAAAAATATGCTGACTCATGCTCAGTTAACACATTGTTGATGGTTTATTTTAAAGTTTAGTAGTTCCTGAACAATTTGGCTTTGAACTCTTTAATAAGAAGGCTAGTGAATAGTGATGCTTTGTTCCAGTATGAAAATACAGGGATGTTCACGAAAAACTGACACATTTTTAAACGACTTTGTGAACAAGTGAGAGCTCATAGAGACTTGATTTGTATGCCATTCGAAAGCCTAATGAAAAAGTTTTGTATGTGCATAACTCCTTTAGGTAGCATACCAGGAGTTTTCAAACAAATAAGAAAACGTTAAAATAGGGAAATTTGACTTGACGACGAAATTTCATTTAGCGGAAAAACAATGAAGCTTTCGCGGCGACGGTCTGCCAACAAGACTGAGCCAGTTCACGAATTCGTCTAAGATTTGGCAGATTAATTTTTCGAGGGATTATTTTTATACTATTAAGGCATACTGAGGGCAAATTTCTAAGGAACGCCAAGATTGGTGAGTATGGAAGTGCTGTTGTCATAAATCATAGTCACAGGCTGACAGGGCTGCAGAGTGTTACCGCGCCATCTTTTAACGGCTCCCGTTAGCTGCTGAAGCGGAAATGCGCCGACACCTACACCATTCGGTGGTTCTGGCACGTCCTGGCCACCCCACGTTCAGTAACCGCGATCATCGGTCTCATACGAGAACGGGGGGATGGGACATTATCTAGCGCATCACCTCTCACCCATAGCCGGCCATTTCCTGTGAGTTCACGGGAGTGACCTGGTCTGTATCAGCGGCCCAAAGGGCTTCAAAACTCCTGACGAGTGCGGTGGGAGGTGTCGCAATTTTCCAGGCGCGTGCCTGTAAACGGGGGATAATTTCCTGTTTCGGGCTGAGTCGTGCACTGTTCCAAAAACTCGTCATCTGCAAAATGCGCTGTAAATTCTTAGAAACGAAAATGATAAGTTCCAAAAATATAACTTCAATCAAACTTAGAAGTCCACTCTATTTGCCCATACCATGATCACCGTACTGAGGGCAAGTGTTCTCTCGTTATTCGGAAATAAAATGTGTCAGTTTTTTGTGAACATCCCTGTATAATAAGTATTGGTATGAAGTTGCATTGACATTGGCTTACACTATTTTAGTTCACCTTTGATTCTACCTCCCCTAATAATCCCATCTGTCTGGCTGCCAGGTACTGCCACGCTGCTGGTGGCCTGGAACACCAGTCCGGGCGACCAGCAGTTTTCTGACCAGCTGCTGGCCGCTGACGGCCGGCTGCGTCTGATCGCGCCGCAGCTGCGCCGGCCGGCCGCCGAGCGGCACGTGCGCCGGCTGCGTCAGCTGCAGGCCGACCGCCGGCTGCAGACGCAGAACCTGGGCCCGCTCAGCCTGCTCTGGGAGCGGCCGTACCCGGAGGGCACGGCGCTGCACGCCGCCCAGTGCGACTACCTGCGGCCCAGCCGGCTGGCCTTCCACGAGCGCGTGCTGGACGTGGGCGCGTTCGGCCGCTGGTGGCAGCTGTGGCGCACGATGCGGGACTATGACGTCAACGACGAGCTGTTCGCGGATAAGGCGCCGGTGGTGCCCGCAGAAGTAGAGGTGGCCACCATCACCAAGTGATAGCTACCCGTGTTTGCCTCATCGTGTCGTACTTGTTTCGATGTTGAAATGCAATAATGTTTATGTAGTTAATATTGTCGTCTATGTGCCCGCAAAAAGGAAATGATCACATAGTCACATACCGAGAAGACAATAGTTTTTCAGGACAATAGCATATAAAGACGGATGAATGTAATGCCAGTTGTATTGGAAGCTCGACACTTCACTAGTGTATACCAATTCGGCATCGCCGCATCATTAGGACGATCTAATTGTGCGTTGGATCGCGTTATCGGAGCCAGCCAGCCCGACTCCACTTTGTGCACAGTCCACCCGCCACATGCGGCGGTGCAAAACGGGTGATTTCGTGCTCCGCCGTCGGCATGACAACTTCACCTACCGGTCGCTCGACGGCGCTGGCTCCACGGGCGAAAAACCCGCCGACAAAAGGGACGGAACGACCACGGAAAGACGAGGACGCTGCTCGTCCCCGGGACGGACAGCCACGGGAAGGCTGCGACGGACGGTACTCGTTGACATACGCTGACATCTTGTCTTATTTCCAAGGCAACATCTCTAGCAGGTAGCGCAAGGGTGCAGTGCCACATTACGATCTACGGCACACCAATATCATATCAAAACACTGACTACCAGCTGACTATTGAGGAGGGAGGACGAGGCGAGTTGGGGTGTGAACCCTTCGAAAGTACAGCTGACTGCACTCCCCATCGTCAGACGCAATCTGAGACGTCACGCAGTGAGCGGGCTACAAGAGATCAGCCGAGACGGGCACGGCTTGATGCACTGAAACTGAAAAATGCTATCACAGACAATGACTAAGTAGTTGTGAAAGCATCGACTACAGGAAAAACGCTGTAGAGGACATATAGTGTCCTGTCAACACAATATTCAAGTCAAAAGCAAAGCAAATAATACCATCGTTTGCGAAGCAGGTTACGGGGCTAAAGAAATATACACTCACATACACTCACACAACAGACGTTGAGAATTAATGTACAATTGAACAATCAAAAACATAATTCATCAAAATGTATAAACATGCAAAATGGTCTGTAATTACCTACAGACATGCCAAAGTGGATATCGATTCCACAATCAGTCACATTTACATTATAAAGAAATCTGAGACACGGCCAGTATACCGTTTCATGTATAGAAACATGCGTATAAAAATGAAAGATTTCGACTTCCTTTGAGCTGTGGACGAACCCCGAACCCCGAGGTCCGCTCGCACTCCGACTAGCGCTCCGAATGCCCGGTCCAATGAGCAGCACTCTGTACTGGCGGCAGGGGCTCCTCCTTGTCAGCCAGTGACCGGCTTTCTCTGAGTGTCGTCTGCCGCCGAGAGGCTCGCTTAGCGCAGCTGCAGACCGCCCACGGCGGCGGCCAGCCCCGGCTGGGGGTCGTGGCCGCCGTGACCGTGCGGCAGCCAGCGTGGCACCGGTACCGGCGGGTGGCCGCGCGGCGCCGCCCCGTGCCCGGCTCCGGTGTACCCCGGGGAGTCGCCCGGGTACCCAGGGGAACCGTCAGGGTACGCCGGGCCGGATGGATACCCCGGTGAGCTGTCCGGATATACCGGAGAAGCTGAACTGTCCAGCGGCGCCGATGGACTGAAGTCACTTGCAGAACTCATGGAGGAGTTTCGCCACCCGTACCTGCCAGAACGCAGGTGGTAAGAAAGCATACCTAGGTCTAACTCTGGAAGAACATCGTCGTGATAGAATCGCTGTCTCAAGAGAGAATGGAACCATGTCGGCCCAGAGATCAACAGAGCGTCCACAACAAGGGTGTCAGACGGACTGGATGAAAAAGAGCACAAGGCTGACTAACATTGCATGGTGCACCCTTGGGGAGGGGGGGGGGGCATTACGTACCCCTGAGCGGCGCCGCAGCGACAGGGCGGCGTCCCGGCGGGGGCGGGGGCGGCGCTTTGGCGGCGGGTCGGGGTGCCGGCTGCGTACGGCGGCGGCGGCTCGGGCGGCACAGAGTCTGCCCGGCCAACCGCCGCCGCCGCTCCCGACTCCGGCGGACGGAGCAGCTCCCGCACCCTGCCGACACGCTGCTGACACCGCTGGGAACCTGAAACACAGGTCGTCCGGGGTCACTGACACCGGACTGACATATAGCGAGCAGATGCCACCCACGTATCTTTGGCAACCCCCTCCTGATCCCCCACCCCCACCCAGCCCGGCAGGCCCCGACACGTCACCGATAAAAAGATCATAAACCGTCCACTGTGAAATTGCGGCCTTTGTAAAAACATCCGGCATTACGAACGCAGCATAGCTATGCACTAGAAATACAACACCGCAGCTGCCGTCTAGCAACTCCCTAATGGCGCGAGTCCACACTCATCAAATGTGATATCTCGATCACGTATCGGTTTCAGAACCTTCAAAGAAGAGCTAATTGGTCTTCCGAGCCCCGCACGCGTAGCGCAGTGGAAATAGTCCAGCCGGCGCCACCTGATGCTCCCTGCGGCCCCGCCGCGGGCCGTACCGGTGAATTTGGCGGCGTGCAGGTGCTCGGCGTCGATGTCGGGCAGCTCGCTGACGATGTCTCGGTGCGCGCTGAACACCAGCTGGGTCCGCTCGGCCAGCTGCAGGTAGGCGTCCGAGAGCGTCAGCAGGCCCTGCTTCAGACGCGCCATCTTGGCCACCTCGTTCTCCCGCGTCCGCTCCGTCACTGCCGGGGGATGGGCCGGGTCACATATCCGTCACTGCGGGGGGATGGGCCGGGTCACATATCCGTCACTGCGGGGGGATGGGCCGGGTCACATATCCGTCACTGCGGGGGGATGGGCCGGGTCACATATCGGTTACTGCGGGGGTCGGCCGAGTCATAAGTCACTGCCGGGGGATGAGGCGGGCCACACAACGGTCATTGATCAATGCCCGGGAGTAATATACCGGTCAATGTCATAAAACCATATTACGCTGGGGAGCCAACATTTTTCTTTCTTCTTTTGAATTTTGATTTCTCTCCTGTTAGCGTCCTTAGCGTCAGCATAGCTAATAATCATGGCTATGAAATACCGCAATTACTCTTTAAATGTCATTGGCATGGACCGGAAAGGACGTAGAAGATAAATTAAAACGTTTCACAATTCACTGGTTGTTTACTTGAGCAGATCGGGCCAACAAGATTTACCCAATACCCAACTTCGAATGGGCTGGGCATGTGCCGGGCCATATGTCAGAAAATGGTGTGTCATAAATGGTGAATGCCGGGCGATATGCCGGCCGCTGATAAATAAATTAGCCACTGACTGGGGATATACTGGGCCATATATCGGCTCGGCCACTGCCGCCTGGAAAAATCGGTTATATGCCACCCACGGGAACATGTTCAGTAAACACTGGATGACTCGCCGGGTCATAGCCCGTCTGTTGCAGGGGATATACTGGGGCAGACTCAGTCGAACTCTGTTGACACGGATAAGTCAGAATCACACGTCAGTTTATAATACAGCGCAGCGATATAAAAAGGACATGGATTTAACATAACATGGCCGGAAAAGGCAAAACCGTTCGAGATGGTGACGTATTTCACAGAACGTTGCCTCTAAGCTGCGGAACTTCGGACTGTGCGGAGAACTCTCGACTGCACTGGCTCACCCTCGCTGAGCGCGGCGTTCTTGGCCCTCTCGGATGCAGTGAGTTTGAGCTCGGCCTGCTGCCGGTCGCCAGCGGCCGCCTTCTTCAGCTCGCGCCGGTACTTGCTCTCCTTGGTCTCGCAGGCGGCGAGTTCCGAGCGGCAGCTGTCCAGCTGCTCCTCACCCTCCAGAATCATCTCGAACTGGTACCGGAGCGCCTTCAGCTGGGCTGCCGGGGTGGAGCGCGAGAAGCGGACCATCAGGCGTAACTCGAGTGCAGCATATACAATAAAAAAAGAGATGTAAACAATGATATCGTTTAACCCACGAGCCGCTGGGGGGGGGGCATAAAGTTGCCCCCCCCTTTACGTTTTGTGAAATATCTCCGAAACCTGATGAGCTACGAACGTGAAACTTGGCATAGCTTCAAATGAATACCTAGGCAATGTTTGAGGAAAGTTTGGTGGTTGTAGTACCTAAGATGACGTCACAGTGACGTCATAAAGTTTTGTCGTTTTCCGATATGGACCGTTTCTGATGACGCTCAGGGGCGGATCCAGCATTTTGCCAAGGGAGGGGCTATTCCGAATCGGGGGCCCCCCATCGATGGGGGCCCTACCTACCCCCAAAAGTTTAAGCCTGGATTTCGTCCACTTTATTTTTGGGGGCCCCCTATCATGCTTTTTTTTTGCAAAAAAAAAAGAAAATGAGAAAGTCGCCCGGGGGGGGGGGCGCTATAGTCCCTATCGCCCCCCCTGGATCCGCCCCTGCTAGGAGGCCTTGTATGTGAACTAGGAAGCCCTCTGTGATAGCTAGGAGGCCCTCTGTGCAGATGCGAGCGCAGGCCCTCAGTACAGACTTGGAGACCCTTTGTGTGGATGCGAGTGGAGGCCCTCTGTGGAGATTAAGAGGTCCTGTGTTGGCGAAGAGGATATCTGTGCAGGCTTGGAGTCCCTCTGTGCAGGATAGGAGACCTTCTGTGTGAGTTAGGAGGCCCTCTGTGTTGGCTAGGAGGCCCTTTGTTCGGATGCGAGTGGAGGCCTCTGTGTAGGCTAAGAGATTTTGTGTTTGTTAGGACATCTGTGCAGGCTTGGAGGCCCTCTGTGCAGGTTAGGAGGCCCTGTAAAAGTGGTCATCTCTGTGAGTATAAGAGACCTCCAAGTTATGAAAAGCTTTACCAATCTTCTAACAAAGAAGTCTTCTCAGCTAGTCTTCTAAGAAATAACTAAGTGGGTAGGTTAAAAAAAAAAAACTCATCGGATTTCGGCCACTTTATTTTCAGGAGGCCCCTTTTCAGCTTTTTAACTTTTTATTTTATTTTTGAAAAAAATCGGCCAAGGGGGGGGCCATGGCCCCCATGGCCCCCCCCCTTGTATCCGCGCCTGATGACGCTGAGCATGAAACTCAACTGTAAATGAACTAGACAGCACCTGCTGTCATCCTAAAACATCTAACTACACTTCCATCTGGTTT